AAAGCGAAGGCCTACTATACTTAGTAATTTTGATTTATCCCCATAATGAGATCAACTAAGTTATAAACTTCATTAAAATACAAGTAGATGGTTAATAAATACATAAATATTGTATAGACACTTGAATAGCGGGAGAACACACTGTCGCCGATTGTCTTTTCTTATGTGGGAGTGATGGAATGGGGTGTAATATATCATCAACATGTAACTTTAGTCATTTTGAGACAAACATATTATGATCATTCTTATTTTTATTAGTGTAAATGCAAAGTAATTGAATTTTGCCCAGATAGCGACTTTTCTGTCTCCTCTTTTTCGATTTGCATACTGAATGGTATGGTCATTGCCATGATGTACTGCCTGATATGGTCATTGCAATGATGTTCTGTCGGGTATTGTCGGTGTACTGCCTGGTATGGTCATTGCTATGATGTACTGACTGGTATGGTCATCAATATGATGTACTGTCTGGTATGGTCATCAATATGATGTACTGTCTGGTATGGTCATCAATATGATGTACTGTCTGGTATGGTCATCAATATGATGTACTGTCTGGTATGGTCATCAATATTGATTTAGTTTCTCTGGATTTATACTTCTTTTCTGCCGATTCAATTTCTTGACTCTTTTCTTGCTATTTTTCTGTGGATTCATTTTCTTTTTATTTCTAGGGATTCCTTTCCTTCGCTGACCTCTAGTTTGTGAATTTATTTTTCTTACTTCCATTATGTGGATTTATTTTCTTACTTTTCTTATTTTATGTTTGTGAATTTTCTTCAGAAACTAGGGCTATAGATAATCCCATCTACTAGTTACTATAAAAAAATTAACAATAAATATCGATTTTATACACAGCTGAACATCTGTGTATATTTTAGGTGTTTTTTTTATGTGGACATTGAATAATCACTCAATATATCAATGAACTTATAGTTGCCAAGAGAAAAACTGTGACATACATGTACATATGACAATATGTGAAAATAACAATTTAATCTGAATGGCAACATTTAAAGAGATAAAGTCACGGCTGGCCTATTCATATTTCCTTGAAAACCCCTGATCTATTTTATCATTATAATTTCATTCTTAGAAAGAATGGTATATCAATAAACAAGATAACAAAAATTGTCTGAAAATAAAAATAAAAAATAAACCTGTCAATAAAACTATTCATGTTATATAATTTTTTGAATAAAACCGCAACCTAAATCGTTAAACGACAATTTTGTATATTTCTTTTTGTACGTCCCCAAGATTTTCAAGATGTAATAGTACAAGGTAGTTAAGAAGCCGTGTCGAATCAGGGGTAAACAGCACTGAAATGAAGTGGGGTTTCAAGACCTACTTTACTTTACCAGATGGACTAATGAAGACGGGCATACGACATAGAGTGTGCTATGAATGACATTTTGCCCGGACAGTGACGTGTCTGCCTACTCTTCGTCTAATTCCAACTGGCAAGAGTTCTTTAACGTGTACGCCGAAGGGCAAATGGGGCCCCGATTTTTATATCATCCGAATGACTAGACAACGTTCCTTGATAGCTCACACCCTCCTGCACCACCAACAACGTTCCCCACAACATAAATAAAATAAATCATCCCAAAGCTTGTTATTTTGGCCGTGAATGAGTGTTCTTTTTCCCCACTCGTTAATATATAAAACAAATCAAATCAGAATAACTTATCAACACAACGGTCAGATGCTGTGACCATACATATAAAAAATGTAATTTTTTTTTCTGATAATTGATGCAGTGCTCAACTGATCTCTTTTTCATTGAGAATAAATACGTCATGCGTGTTATAAGCAACGCTTTCATTATTAACATAATCACATGATATTTTATACAAAGAATATAGAATCGTTTGTGTAATGTTCCAGCGTGGTTGCTTTGTTTGAAAACAGCTTTTTGTGTCTAAAAATAGCATATGTGTAAACTTTATTTTAGAATATTAACAAAATCCATACTATCTATCCCTGAATGATTTATCCTATATATTCGCGTTTTACCTCAACAGAAAATATAATTTTACATGCTTTCAATATAGCTTATGTAAAATATAATTTAACTGTGTTGGATACTGTAGGCTGCAGTAATTGTTGTTGCAGGGTTTGAGTATTTTCCGTGATGTTTATCATCTTCTCTTTTGAATTTAAATAGGTGTACTAACTGACGGTTTCAATATTAAAGTCCCCAGTCGTCCAAAGTTCTGGTCTAGATACCTTGGTTATCACAAGACAAATTCATCCTATTCTGGTAACTATGCTGCTTTTAACTTCAGGATTTTCCTTTTTATGTAATATTTTAGTTATAGAATAGCGTTTGATAATACTATATAAAACGTTATCTGGTGGTACAAGGACTTGCATGAATTTCCAATATACAATTCATAATATTAACCCTATTATATGGACGTGTGTTCTGTTATGACATATAGGATATTATGTTCAAACTTTAATTTAATCTAATACCCACTAAACTGAAACAGTCTCGTATCAATACATGTATATCTACAATCAATAGTACTTATATTTTAATTAATAATCAATAGTCATATTGACTGTAATAAACTGTTTACGGTCATATCCCTGGATATTTGTCAATAGAAAAGATGTCAATATTTGCTGGGGATAGTTTTGTTTACAATGTGCAAAGTTTCTTTATTTACAGTCTAAGGAAAATAATAAACAAACAAAATGTATGGAAACACAAAACGACTACAAAGATATTATTTAGAGTCAAAGCTATGATAACCTTCTAGTCTTATATTATTTGTCAGATAGCTGGGTTTCATTCAAAACCATTCTTGAAAAAAAGACCAGTATTTGAAGAAAATAAATTAATACATAATCATATCACGGTGGCTAAGTGGGTAAGACGCTGGCTCGCTAGCCTGGAGGTCGGGTGTTCAAATCCCTGCTTTGGCCAAGAAAGTTCATCCAGATTTTCTGGCGTGGTCCTCCCTTGTCATTGATGCAGGACGGAGGGCCCGACAAGGACAGCTGTCTAGTCGTTCGGATGGGACGAAAAACCGAGGTCCCGTGTACACAGTTGAAATTCGATATATAAGTGTCCCGCTGTCCGGGCAAAATTTCCCTTATAGAACACGGTATGGCGTATGCCCGTCTTCATTAGCCCAGTATAGGAGCAGAACAGTAAGACGTTTTACCCATTTCATTTCATTTCATTTCCAACATAAAATATTTACTTAGCTTGGCGTTGATACTTATAGTTGCTGTTTGTTTTTTAAAAACAATATTTTATTCTTCCACCTTATATATATATATATATATAATATATATATAATTACTATTATAGTGAGAACTGCCAGCTCGTTATCTAATCTCCCATAATGCCCCTAAAAAACTAGATAATGTAAAGGGAATATGCTGAAAATTTCAGTCAAATTGATTCACTCTGAGCCGAGAATTTAGCGATTGAATTTTAGGTCTAGCCTCGATCATCATTACTAAAGTCGGTACCTTAAAAACATAGTCTCGATTATCTATTTTTGGATTTAATCATAAATGTGCATTGAGCAGCAGGCTAGCGATGACATCGAGAGTTAATTGTGGTCTGGATAAGTTAATTAAACATACATTATGCAAGAGCTAAATCTGCCTATTGCAGGTCTTTCTTTAGGCCTGAAATGTTATATAACTATAAATTAGACATTCATTAACAAAACAAGACCATAATCGACTCTCGATCGCATCGGATACTCGAGATTTTAACTAGATTAAAACGGTTCGCCATTTAAAAATTTAATTTAAAAATGGGAAAGCGAGGCTTAGTCCCGATTATACCAGTGCTTTGGTTACCACTGTGCACACATCTTGTCAAAACTAAAAACAATGATAACTTGGCTGAGATCGAAGTAATTGGAATGAAATTTTCAATATTTTCTTTTTTTATCATCTATTTTTGAATTATTATAGCAAGAATGACCAACTCTTTATTAAACTCTTAACTAATGTATCTTTAATGTCTAATTAATAATTTAGATAATATATATTTCAGGCCTAAAGAAAGACCTGCAATAGACAGATTTAGCTCTTGCATAATGTATGTCTACGACAATGTTATAAAAATTGTGTGATTAAATAAGTCTTGAACACCTGGTGGTATGTACATGTACATGTAGGTCTATAAGTATGTAATATATCTGTTATACACTTTATACATACAATCATTATCTTTCATTATACCTATCTTGCAAGTTATATAATTTAAACCAAATTGAAGGAAATCTAATACCTGCTGGGAATTATAAGACCCATAACAAACGACCGTATAAAGGTAATAATACCCCTTAATGAAGAATATAGACTAATTGGTGAAATAGGTGGTTTAAGTACTAATCGGATAGACCACATACTAAAGGGAAAGGTGCCATTGTACCTACTCGGTAGTTCAATCCAAAATGCAGCAAGGTGAAGTTTGAAAATACCTGAAACTTTTGGAAACGTTGACTAAATACAAAAAAAGTACCGGTACAAAAAACTAAGTGCAGTCAGACTTTTGTAGCCTTTCCTTGACCAATACAACTTGACCAGTTCAACTTATAATGTACTCATAATGTAGATCAGTACACATTAAAAAGAAATTATCGTGTCCCCACGCCACCCACCCTCCTCAGTTATAAAAAAGACATACAATCACATTGATATTCACTTATAAACAATAACAATTATAATATTTTGAAATTATCCATACAGCCAACATAATTTACCTTGAGCTTCTCATAAATATCTAATCATGTGCTACATCAAATGACATTAATGACATTATTATAGTTTAAAACAATAGATAACGACTTTTCGCTTGGTTAAGACATATTTCTTCTTATCGTCAACATGGCATGTCATGTAACGTACGACACAATATTGCAGACATGATTCGAGGAAATCCTGACTTTTGTTGATATATAAATGTCTAAATTCAACAATAAATAAATTATAAACAGTTGTCAAAAAACATAATTCTTTACCTTCGCTTTGACGCCATCTTTTCTCTTCGTATCGTTTTTCATATCTGTCGACCTTTGTAAATGTAATCAGCAATAATATCCACCTGAAAGGAGACGCCCACTTTGTTGCAACATACTAAGTGCAATTAAAGACTGGCCGTTCCTAATTATAACGCCGATCACAGGGCCATACACGTGTCCGTTTAAAAAGGTAAGTAAATGGTAAATACAAGATTACCAAGAGACGTTTTGTTATTAACAGGTTTATTCTCTTGCCGAGAGTACGTCTCACCGTTAACTGTACACTGACAACTGGTCCTATTCTATTTTAACGGAGCTTTAAAAAAAAAAAACAGATCGATAATGGTAATAAACGGGGATTATCTCCCTTGTAACGATAAGGAACAGCTGTCTGCTAAAAGAAATAATAATGACTTCTATTCCTTGCTTTTTATCTCGAACAAAAGCTTACCTCCCGCAGATTACACAACCATACAACGACGCGAACATCTGCATTCGAAGCGTGTGTTTAAAAGGAAGACCTACGGCCCCATTTTATATTGCCTATTGATTATCGTGCACCTCATTATTTTCACAAAAAATATTAATTTTTAAAAAAAATAGCCAAAGATTAATAGGATATGTAAAAAGTTAATACACAAACAAAGAAGGGGCCTTCAAAATTGAAAAATTTAATTCAGATTTTTAAGTAGGCTTATACTCCTGAAAAAAGAAAATTGAAAATCTCCCTTTACTATCACCATCGTACGTCACAGAGACGGAAATGGGTGCAAGATCAACAAGTAAAATATTAGTTCCTAGAAAGGAACTAGTAAAATATATACATAACAATTCAAACTGAAATTGGCAATCTATATTTTCGGGTGGATGTGGTTGAGTGTGTCGTGTAATAGGTCTTTGGGCGGAGGGTCAATATCCGTCTATAGCGTAGATCGTGGACCATCAGATCTGTTATTTGCGGGAAGGTCGACAAGATATAATTGAATGTACTACAAATTCCGCCTGAATTTTAAAGGGACATTGTTTGCACCCAGTGTATATCACACTGTGAAGTGCAGGAGAAAAGCATGGTTGGTTGGAAATAGAGTTTACAGCCTATTATTGGTCATTTCGGGACTAACACATGGTTCAACTTTATTTCAATAATTCGCTTGCGAGTAGGTGTCTTTAGCTGTGGGAGGAAACTGGGGGACCGGGAGAAAGCCCACGAGATTTAACAGGCGACCCTACTTCTTGTCACTTACAACCGGAGCTGTTCTAGACTGGTTTTTTTGCGTAGATTCCGAATCGGGGTGGTGATCAAGCGTTTGAGGGGGCGTTTTCGAGATATGGTGGGGGGGGGGGGCTGGGGGCAATGTCTACAATTGGGGAAAAGTGTGATTATGTTGACATAATTGATGATCATGTTGTATATTAATAAAACATAAATTTCTAGGACTGTCCATCTGTCAATAGGTGTTTATGATGTCCCTGGACAACTATTCGGATTGGTTGCGAGGTGAGATGGGGGTTCCAGGTGTGCGTGTGTGGAAGAGTGTTTGTGTGTGGGTGGGGTGGGGGTACAATTGGCGGGAAGTGAGTTCACATTGATATAAATGATAGTTTTCTTAGAGCATGGTAAAAACGTTACTTTTTAATGCCGCTGCACATCTATAAATATATGTGTAAAATCCCATTGTGTGGGGTGGGGGGGGGTTAATTTGGGGGACAGAAACCACTTGGTTCAAAATGGACCTAAAAGTGGCTTCTCGTTAGCTTTTTCGTTCAGTACCAATTTCGCCATTCAAAATATTAAATTATAATGGTACTTTTCAAGAGATCTGGAAATATAAAGTAAAACAAACCACAGTAAACAAGAGACATGTTTAGATATTAGTTTATTCTTACAGTCTTTATTTAGAGATGGACAGTTCTATAGACATTTATGTTTTATTAAACATACATTATGCAAGAGGTAAATCTGCCTATTATAGGTCTTTATTTAGGCCTAAAATGTTATATAAACTATTAGGGGGGTTGGATGGTCGAATGGTTAGCACGTGCGTGCTGTATCATAAAGCCTGTCATTGAGTCAACTGGCGTGGTTTCGAATCCCCGGTTGTACGTGACAAGGAGTAGGGTCGCCTGTCTAACCTCGTGGGTTTTCTCCGGGTCCTCCGGTTTGCACCCACTGCTAAAGACCCCTACGCGCAAGCGAATTATTGGAAATAAAATTAAACCATACGTTTGTCCCGAAATGACCTAGTTTGTGTCGAGTGGACGTTAAACTCCATTTCTCTCTCTCTCTCTCTATATATATATATAAACTATTAATTAGACAGTAATTAACGTATCCAGACCATAATCAACTCTCGGTGTCAACACTAGCCTGCGATAATTGTTGGATTATGATCCGATTTGCTGTATAACTTTCCTTGTCGATTTAACGATTAAATGGATAATCGAGACTATGATTTTTGTCGTACCGACTTAAGTAATGATGACCGAGGCTATGCGGAACTTTCGATCGCTTATTTCTCGGTTCATAGTGGATAAATTTGACTGAAATTTTCAGCAAATTGCCTTTACATTATCTAGTTTTTAACTATTATAGTGAGAACTGCCAACTCGTTATCTAATCTCCAATAATGTATCTTTAATATATAACATGATCATCATTTATGTCAACATAATCACATTTCCCCCCAATTGTAGACATCCCCCCCCCCCCCCCAAAAAAAAAAAAAATAAAAGCAACAAAAAAAAATAACCCCAAAAAACAAACATCTTGCTAATATCCAAGAAGTTGTTTAAGTTTAACATTTTTAATGGGGGATACTCGATTGAACGTTCCGGAATTATTTCTCTCAATTTCAATTTCTGAGTACAACGCTTGTGCCGACTGCATAAAAAATAAACCAATCATGGCAGCTGAAACATATTTGTTACGTAAAATATGTCACGATTCTACTCACACCACCCCAGCTGTCGGGACTGGCAGATCTGTGACAGGGCTGAATTCCGTATCACTTGATTGCAATTCTGCCAATTCGGGACGTTTCGTACGGACAATCGGCCCCCCCACCCCCCATGGAGAACGCAGATAGCGATGTTTTTAAAGGGAATAATTGTCACGAATAATTGCCAGCATTAAAATTCTTCCATTAACTTCATTTATTTTCTGAGAACAAAAATGTCAATATTACAAATACAATTTGTTTTGAGACAAGCCCGTGAAATAACTATAAATTTAATGTTTAACAGTTACATGTTGTGTTTTCCGAATTGGAGTCCTATACAATATGACAACTAACCCATCCTACACACAACACAGACACTTGCAAATTAGCCATCGGCCTACTTAACAGTATTTTACCTATTTTCAATATAATCTCAGGGTCCTTAGCGTGATAAATGTTTTCTGTCTCTTGCGCTAGCGTGTTCTCCAATAATGCAGTGATCCTTGCACGGTCAATGCTTTCAGTTATATGTATTTTCTCTAAACAACTTAGGAATCTGCTATGTTTTGATTAGATGTCGAATTTTTAAAACAAATAAATAAATACCTGATAAGAACATCAAGACAAATACACCTTCCTGTTATTTATAAAGTTGTAAGGAAACCGTTATAGGACGGAAAATGGTGTCAGTTATATGTTATATGTATTTTCTCTAAACAACTTAGGAATCTGCATTGTTTTGATTAAATGTCGAATTTTTAAAACAAATAAATAAATACCTGATAAGAACATCAAGACAAATACACCTTCCGGTTATTTATAAAGTTGTAAGGAAACCGTTATAGGACGGAAAATGGTGTCATTGAAGGGGATACTTAATGGAAATTCGAGTTTTGTCAAACTGTAAGGTGTGCTTTCTACACTGTGCCACCAACCACCATCCTCAAAAGTGTTGGAACATTCTGGTGATTTCCGGTCCCACGTGCAGAAGGGGCGTGGTGTTCCCGTTGCATTACCCAAAGGGTTTGATGTACTACTTCCGTCTACTAGACCTTCTGGATATTGTTCAATTGAAACATTTTTGTAGTACAGACGATAATCATCTTTCTCCGAGCCTATTCTGAAGTCCTTGTAGAAAATCTGGTGGGACCCCAGATTTGTAACAAAATAGACTTGCAGATCGTAGTTACTGGACTTGGTTAGTTGATAAATGTTTTCCAGTCCTATCCAGTGAGTATACATGGTTGGTCCAAATATATACTTATAGTCCAGCCACGTTCTGTTGAAATTGACCACTACACCCTTGTCTCGTTGTAGAACGATGACCTTTCCTTCTTTATAATTACACAATACTTCCATTGGTCTGTCAGCACCATCAGGATGAATTAGGGTGGGAACGTTGATCCAAGACAATGGTGAATTTTTATACTGAAGAAGATGGCCCTCATGGCAATCTGCAATACGAACGGGTATGGGACATAATCTTGAAAACATTCTATTAAATAACCCCCATTATTACAAGTATTAACACAATTTTATGGATACACAATTACTGAGTTTGATACTAAGCGACGTTTCCACGAGGATACTCTCGTCTTTATCAAGCCAATCAAAGAAGATATTACAAGTATGTTTACTCTTAAACGGACACCGGAAACTATTTGGGAGTCACGGTGGCTCAGTATGTAGGACGCTGGTTCACTAACACGGAGGTCCGGGGCTCGATCTCGGTCCAGTATGGTTTACCCTTGTCAGTGGTGCATGACGGACGATCGTGTGTAATAAGGGAAATCAGCCGGAAAGTCCCGATGCACTTTCTCGATGTTACTCTTACAAAGCTGCATGTAACCTAAGATTAGGATGGTTTTTTTTAAAGTTAATTTTACCTTTGATATAGTCATAACAATTAGGCGGAGAGAATCCAGCCATGCAGGTACAGTTATTACCATTCCACATTCCACCATTATGACAGCCTTCTGATGATATCGGTTCACGACTTTTAATATCCTGTAACAAAGATCATTATATTTTCAGCGTTTACTTACTTTTAAATACAAGAATTGTTTGTGTCTGACTGAAATAGACCCCCTTCGGATTTCATTCACATTTGGGGATTTATTTTGGTCAACGGCAAAGTAAAAACCTTATATTATTAATATGTGTAATTAATTTTTAAATCTTCGACTAGTATTTAATTTTCCTCTTTAGTATACCAGAGAATATGGAAATCAATCAAGCGATTTCTGAGAAGATTAAACTTTCGTGAATGTGTTTTTGTTTTAGCCTAGTGTAGATATTTATTTCAGAATTTTTGTCTTGTGTTTTATATGTAATTTGTATTTTACTATATGTTTAATATAATGTACATATCGTCTCTCATAATTCTTAATATATGCCAGTCGTTTTAATACTTGGTATATTTCAATTTTCAATGTGATGTATGTTGAGACGTTAATAAATTACTACTACTTCTAAAAGCCACTATCCACTTAATACACCGTGTTTAAATTTAACCAGCATGACTAATGTGAAAGCAACCGAGTCACTTAATTCCTTTAAACAATTCTAAATAACCACCATAAATTAGAAATATTCCTGCGAAATTTGTGTTAGAGTCCATTGTGGAGTTTAAATGAAACATTGTATTCTAAATTTTGGCCTGAAACGATCCATCGTTTTCGGTCTATTCGAACCTGCTTTAAAGTTATGGGGAAAAAGATAATGTGTTACCTCTAGTAATAATTTACAATTTTTGTCAGGCCGAAATGTCTCGCACGTGCCCTCGTGTATACCAGCATGAAGTTCGCATGTATATCCTTGACCTCCCGATGTATCTGGACACACTGTTATTGCACGACACCATTCAGTTCTGGCACATATCAATCCACACATGGTGGTAGATCGGGCTTTAATGGTTGCCCTTATCCGTACATTAGATCTGGTATTCTTACATACTTCATAGAGACGATTAACTTCAACGTCAACACTCGCGAAAACAGAGCCAGAGATTTTAAAACTTTGTAGAAAAAACAGTACTATTGCCGCTAACTGCATGATACTGGTGGATATAGTTCTAACAGCACTGTCTAAATTGTATTCCTTGTTACGGTCGTTGGTAAATAGGCCCACCTTCTGCTACCTCCCAGCTAAATCGTCTATGATAATAATATTGGACCGTGTGATATAAATATTGGATCGTTTGCTGAATCAAATGTGTTGACAATAGAATGATCACGTTCGGACTGCCTAACACAACCCACAGAACAAAACTACATCTTTTCTTTGTCGTGCATAAAGTAATGGGGCTTTAACGTGACGAAAGAAATAATACCAACAACCAGTTGCAAAATAAATATTTTTGGTGCTGTTATCAACGTTTTACGCAAATAAATAAAGCTGGTAAATGAATGTTTGTTCTATAAATCATTTGTAGTTTAATTAAACACAAGTAACAAAGACCATAGAACAACTATCATAATATGAAAAGAAAACTTATGGCAACTTCTCAGTGCATAAATAAAGGGGCATTGACAGATATGACGTTTCTGAGATATTTCACTAATGATCTCATATTCAGGGTCATCGTTCATCTAGTTGGTTCGGCTTCTGAAATCCAAGTTTAAACTATCGTTTCATTGATGGGTTTCTTGCATGGTGTAGGGTGTGTTTATTCTTTCAAGAACCTCTGTACTTTTATAGTCATACGTTTGAAATAGATGTCTAGATAAGGGTATCTCGAAAAAGCTCCAGGCATCGAAATTTACATGAAAAACATACAAAACGTATATTAAATTTAAGCTCTAATTAATGACAGTTAATTCATAACGCCAACTTTCGTCTCAACAACAATTTAGGTGCTGAATTATAATATGGCGGTGGCTCTTTAGTTCAATAATTGACTTATCCAATATTTTCCAGTACATGTGCGTTTATATCAGAATAATAAAACAAACAAAAAATATAATCGATAAAATAGTTGGGAATGATCTCTAGCAGCTATGTTTCAACAGCAAGGAAATCTTGGATGTCGACTAAATTTGATTCGAGTCTAGAGTCCGGCAATAAATCTGATCTTTATCGCGATGACACATATTATATCTCTTGAACAGAAACCCCTAGATTGCTTAAAATCAAACAAGGTGTTCGGCAAAGCGGGGGTAACACAGGAAAATCAATAGGGTTCATCGTCTCATAACCAATGCTTCATACCAAATTTGAAAGAAAACTATAGCCGCTATCGCATTAACAAGATTTTGGAAGAAAGGTGTGTGTGTGTGTGTGTGGGGGGGGGGGGGTAGCTCCATAACTGGAGTTCACAGATTGCTGAATATCGATGTTGTTGAAAACAGTATGTTGAAAACTGTATCCTCCATCGTGTTGACGGCCGGACATGGGTAATGACATAATAGGTCAACATTTAAATGGACGTATAACAATGTGATGTGAGAAGTATATACAAAAACATAAATTTGAAAAGATATTACATTGTAAAAAAAACATGTTAATTGATATAATTCATATTCATCAGTTCTTTCTCTGGCATAGTCAATCTTCTACCAATCGGATGTTTGTTTCGGCCCTTTCTTATTTCCCTTAAATATGAATGGTGTAGGAAAACCGTGTACCACAAATCAAGTAAATTAGATTTAAATTGGATTATGTTTATGCCACAAAATTTACGTATTCATTATCCCGAAAGAACTTGACTCCATATAGATAGAATTTGTAATGATAATATGAACAATGATTAATTTCAGTTTAACGTTTGTTCGTGAATTTCATTTACGCACAGGTGCGCATTCGCTTAAAATGTTTTCAATTTCTTCCACAACATAGCAGTAGAATCCTTAACCCACAATGTCTGAAATACAATAAGATGTATACTGTTATTTCAAAGTTGCAAATAAAAAATATTTCGTTGTTTATTTTATGCTAACGAATAGAAATTTCAGTTGATTCAAATTAGATCGCCAACAATATTACTCATACTATACAGTGTTAATAATTATACTCACTTTATCTACAGTGATCTTTGAAAATTGATTGTAGTTGGATAGTACTTACTAGGTTTAGTTTGTTTTATAACTGATATGTCATCTATTGCTATATCACTTCCATAATGTAAACTGGCTGTTCCTTCTATTGCTAACTATAAAAAAATCAAAGTATTCATCACATTAGAACGAAAAAAACAACACAGCGTACATTTAAAATTCGGGTGTTGCAAGATGGAAGATTGGTACATCTAAGCAACCGCTGGTACAGGCACGTGTCCGGTATAAATAATGACGCTAGTTCCTTCTGGACTTACTTACTTTCAACAATTTGATATTTTTCAGAAGGTTAAAACTCACTTATATGACAAATGCGAAATTAATTATGGCGTAATGTAAAATGTTACTTACCTTATATATTCCTGGTGCTAAATCTAGACGAGCTTCAGACCAGTCCGGTCCTTGTCTACCTGTTACTTTAAACAATACCTCAGCTGCTCTTTTATCTGATACTTTATTTATTGATAATGATCCAATACCATGACCGTTCATATGGTACCACACCCTTACACTACAATTACTGTTCACCATGAATTTGGGACTTACCATTCTGGACATTGAGTTTGGTTGAAGAATTTCATGTCCATTAATAAAGGCATAATAACCCTCTGTATTATAAATAAATAGAACCATATAATTAGGCTTCTTTCATTTCAGATTCCGTTCTAAACCAATTACCCTTTTAATGTAAATGTTTGAATTCATTACATTAGGTTATAGTATTGTCGGTATTCCTTTGATGTTTCCTTATTATATATTTTAACTAATAAACCTCTACGCGAGAAAGATTCAAAAATTTTTCCTGTAATGGTAGAGTAAGAGAATCTCGTACAATAGAGTCGATGTCTTGTCGGTAAACACCAAACCGTAAAATTATTTTTTTTTATGCTTTACAAATTAAATATTTTATCCTAAAAGTGTTGTTTATAAAGATCCGGTATAGTATGTCAACCACAACAGTTCTTACCTGAGCCGCCAGTTGTATGATCTGCTGAGGGACCTGATGTTCTATCAGGAGTACCTAGAGATGTTCTCCTCCAATCAAACTGGTCGTCTTTATCTTGATACCAGTGACAGAAACTCTTGTCAAAATTACAGGCTATTTCTTTAAACGTAAAATTGTACAAGCCATTGAGTTAGGAGCAGAACAGTAGGACGTTAAACTCCATTTCATTTCATTTCATTTCATTTACAAGCCATTGAACATGTCGGTGCATTAAGGTATTTTATTGTCTGAAACCTACCCCCAAAATATATTCAGTGCCCATGTTAGATGTTGGTATTGGTAGTTTATATTCATGATAAATTATTGGAATGTTCTATTTCTGTATGGTCTAGAATATTAATCTAGCATGGTGTAGCACAGGTAATCGTCTGCTTTAAGACTTTTTTTCCAGCTGTACTTCTTGGTTAGCACGTGCGCGCTGTACCCTAAGGCCTGTCATTGAGTAAACTGGCGTTTTTCGAATCCCCGGTTGTATGTGACAAGGAGTAGGGTCGCCTGTCCAACCTCGTGGGTTTTCTCCGGGTCCTCCGGTTTCCTGCCACTGCTAAAGACCCCTACGCGCAAGCGAATTATTGAAATAAAATTAAAAACCATATGTTAGTCACGAAATGACCTAATTTGTGTCGAGTGGACGTTAAACCCAATCTCCCCCTCTCTCTCTCTTTTGGGATAGAGTATATATAGTGATCAGAAATAGTAGACCTCTTCTTCCCATCATGAATTGACTTTCGATATACAATTTCTTTTATGCCATTTGGGGATCACGTGGCTAAGTGGGTAAGACGCTAGCTCGCTAGCCTGGAGGTCGGGTGTTCGATCCCTGCATTGGCCGAGAAAGTTCATCCAGATTTTCCGGCGTGGTTCTCCCTTGTCAGTGATGCAGGACGGAGGGGCTGACAAGGAAAGCTGTCTAGTCGTTCGGATGGGACGAAAAACCGAGGTCCCGTGTACACATTGGCGTGCACGTAAAAGATCCCTTGGCAGTTGGAATTCGATATAAGAGTAGGCCGTAGTGCCGCTGTCCGGGCAAAATTTCCCTCATAGCACACTGTATGGCGTATGCCCGTCTTCATTAGCCCAGGTTAGGAGCAGAACAGTAGGACGTTAAACCCCATTTCATTTCATTTCATTTCATTTTATGCCATTTAGTTACAATCTATCGGCCATTACGGATTTCTGTCATATGATCTAAAATTTGGAAATAACGTTTGACTTCTTGATTAATTTATCTGCGATATAACCCTCGGTGGAAACGGACATAAAGCCCCAAGAACAAACGAACGAACGATCAATTATCTACTTGAGTACCACTTAGATATAAGTGATCCATTTTATCAATTTGATAACACGTTATCATATATCCATTTATACTTATTGTAACCTACATGATTTATACCTACCATTAACATCATAGATTGTTTCTTGTGTTGTTGTCGGAGGAGGTGCGGTTATTTCTGGAAATAAAAAATCGATCCATAATAACAACTAGACGATAAGTAGTTTGTGTGTTAACACGGAATATTGTAAATATCAATGGATGCATTTGACCGATGGTTTGCTATTCTAGAAGATACTGCATACTGATTACTTCAACTGGTTAATTCAGATACTAGCTGATAATAGTTAAACATTCTGCTTCCTCCAAATACCAGTTCCGAAGAGACTGGACGATTCTGACGCTGGAACTTCATATCCTAGACCAGGTCCGAAATTGGAGGGGGAGGGGGGGGTTGTGGTTGTGACAAGTAAACAAATAAATATATATATCCTACTGACATACAGATTGCATTTGTGTGCGTGTGACGGACAATAACCAGAATATGCCCCCTTTTCAATGTTGATGCAAGAGCCCCAGTACCATTTTCAGCCAGGAGCCTCATGCAAGCTTAATACGGTTCTTGTTTCGAAATAACCAGATTCAACCGTAGATAACGTGGTTACTGTTAAGTACGGAGAGAGTGCATCTTAATAATACAACTGAGACAGTAATTTACTTTGAGATTTTGTTTACGATAAAAACAGGTTTTTGTTTATATATAAGAAAATAAATTAACAGTATTACATACTTCCAAAACTACCATTGATTTTTATATCATCAATAGCTACATCACTTCCATAGTGTAAACGAGCGGTAGCTGATATACATAACTAAAAAAGAGGTCATTTATTATCTCATTTATCCAGATTGGTTGCATAGAAAAACGTATAAACCTGTTTTTCCAGATTCATACCCACAGAAATTCATGCGCGTCGAACAAGAGCTCAATTACATATAACCAGCTTTGATCCCAAGATAACATTACTTTATGGACCTGGAATCGAGTGTGGCGTCTTCGCCACCATCTTGGAATTGTCATGCAATCCAAGCCCGTCAATTCATGCACAAATTGTCCAAGGAACAAGTTTTATGTCGACCGTTGGCGGGGCCTTATGATTTCTTCGAAGAGCGTCGCAAGCAACACCAAGATGAGTAGCGCTTGATACCCAGTTCCTTGTCCAAAAAGGTCTATCACATTACACGCAATTTAAAATTTGCCTTGCTGCTCCCCTTGAGACAATTTATTAATATCGTTTTAATAACTATTGCATACTATTTGGATTTCAAGAATTTATCAGTTAAAAAATATATTTTATAACGTTATATTGATAGAATAACCCTACGCACCTTATACGTTCCCTTGGGTAGATTAATTTTGATGTTTTTCCACTCAACGCCTCGTCTCCCACGCTGTTCCCATAGTGTCGTCCTACTATTAACGGTGGTGTTGATCAGCGCAATCTCTAAATTACCAATACCAATTCCATTCATGTGATACCAAATCTCAAAAGATACATTAGTCGTGACAACCAGAACTGGTGAATTGAGTTCAGCTGTTGCATTAGGGAAACCAGCAATGCTGCCTGACAAGTATGCATAAAACCCGTCTGGAAATTGAAACATATATTTTTAACTTATAGAATAAATTACAGGCATAAAGGATCATTCCATTTAATAAACCATGGATTAATAAATTTATTTACTTTCTAATTTTCTATCTAATTATGTTTCTATAAGCAGAAAAGGGTATTATCTGGTCATGGTGTTTTTATTCTCAATAGACGGAAGGTTTAATTGATTGAATAATCAAGTATTACATAGTTACCCCACCAAAAAAAAAACCAAAAAAAAACCATGAGTGTGAGGTAATAAAGTTCGATACTCACTTCCTGTTGTGTGGTCATGCTGAGGTCCGGAACTTTTATCCGGTGTTTTTACATTTGTTCTAGCCCAGTCGAGATTATCTGTTTTTGATTGATACCAATCACAAAAATCTTGTTCAAAATCACACGATACATTACTGGTAGTTGAACCTAAGACGATAAAACTAATATTATTAATAGTTATCATAACTCTTTCTGGGACTTAAAATGGAAGGCGTTGGAAGTGTGATTTTGAACGTTCATTAGAAAAATATAAATTTCTTTAAAATGCCTTAAGAAAATATTTCTTATAGTTTTAGATTTCCTATTTTTATAATATCATTTTTTAGTAATGTACAGAATAAATCTGGTATAAAAAACAACAAAAACAAAAATCACAACATATACACACAAAATGTCCTTAAAACGCAACAAAGAAAAAACACCAAAACAAGAATTTGACAAATAAAAACTTAGAAATTAATTTATCTAATTTATCTATCTCTTCTTACTTAAAAATACTGGTATTCATATTAATAATAATATAAAGTATTTTATATAAAAAAAACGTACCAATTAAAGCCACCAGTATGATAACTCCTGGTATTATTGTATTGGTCATTTTAGAAAACTTCAGAGAAAACAGAAAACCAACTTTCTACACTATTTGTACTTAATGGAAAGATGTTACACGGCGGGACGATTATAAGATTCTGATAACCCAAATAACTGTGATAAGAGAAATAAAGTATGTTGTGGCCTGGAATTTTTATTTTTTATCAACATTCTGCTTTGTATATATTATTTATCTAATATGTATCCGCACAATTGACGTGATCGTCACACCTGGTAACTACAAGGTTTAGTTTAATACGGTTGGTTTATCCAAGCGACCTGCAATGATAAGAGCTCCCTGGTGGCAGATTAAAGACATCAAGGACAAACTACTGATATAAAACGTTTTTAACACTTATGATATTAAACAAAGTAATGGAATATTTTTTTTACACTTACTTGACACAATGATACGGATCCCGGTAAGGGACGCAAAAAAAAAAATATAATAATAATAACGGGCGCGCGCCGGATATATTAACTGGCGCGCGCCGGATAATAACTGGCGCGCGCCGTATAATTTCCAATAAGAAATAGAATGAAATGGGGTTTAAAGTCCTGACTAATCAAGACGGGCATACGTCATATATAGTGCGTACTATGAGGAAAAGTTTGCCCGGGCAGCGGTACTACGGCTTACTCTTATATCGAATTCCAAATGCCAGGGGATCATTTACGTGCATGCCAATGTGGACACCAGACCTCGGTATTTCGTCCCATCCCAACTACTGTACGTTGACCGTAGGCTCGCTATCCAGGAGACCCCTTGTTCCATCACTGCTTTGGCCGAGAAAGTTCATCGGCATTTTCCAGCGTGGTTCCTCCTATAACATCGGACCGCCTGCCTAAAGCCCCCCCCCCCCACACACACACACACACTACAGCTCCTCAACCAACTCCCATAAAGCAAAACAATATACACTTATATACACCTATGTAGACATGTACAGTGCTATAAATTAATGTTTTGCTAATCTATAAGATGATCATCATTTATATTACATTTTCCGCCATTTAGGCACCGAACCGCCTGCCTACAGCCCCCTACTTGCCCGGCCCTCACACAAGACAAACAGACATCCAAAAGGCTCCTTTGTACTTATTTAGACATGTACTGTAGAGTGTTATAAACTGATCATCACATTTCAATTGAAGACATTGGACCCTCACCACCTCAATCCCCAGCGCCGTATCACGGAAAGGCCTCCTCAAACACCTGGCCAGAATCGAAATCTACGCACAAAACTGCTCTATAAAGACCTGGTGTCATAAATTATCTCCGCCCCACACCCCCCCACCCCCCCCCCCCCCCGAGCCACTGGACGTGTGACAATCTTACCATTTGATCAAATACCACGTAAACTGAAGACGTCGAGAACATCAACTTCTTTAAGGGAACCCTACCACACTCGCAGACTCCTCCTCGGCCCGTGGAGGTCACAACATTTATTTCCACTTCAAAACCGAATACTACATTTTGGTGTCTTTTAGTACATCCCAATGAGGTCTGGTGTGCGTGTAGTTTGGAATTAATAAGGATGAAATTATTAATTTAATAAATTTGTTATTAAACAGACCCCAGGACTGGACAAAGGTGGATAACCAAGTGAAATTTGTTACATGCCCCATTAGCCTACAGCTGTTTGTGAAATATCAGTGATGTATCTACGATTTCTGGTCTAACATCTAATATTTCATTTGGTTCAAAGAGAAATAAGAAAGAAAGACAAACAGGACAAGCTTGATAAATGATATGCTATAACGGCACGTTCGGGAGTTTTATGACATTTTATATATATTGGCAACTTAGTAGTGTGTAAATTGTATATTTTAGCCATTCTAAAACCACAACCAGTGAGAAAGCCCAGTAAATTCTCGACCAGTCATTCATTCTTTGTAAAGACAAATAACATTGCCATAAAAACAGAAAAGGTTGTCGTTTCACGACATTGCTAGAACTTTATGACATGTTGTAGTATTTTAAGAAGGACACCCATTTTCGAAACACCATATTACACTCCTTCACATGGAGAACCGATTACTCTCCAGTTTTGTTTTAGTAATAATTCTCGAACTCGTGTTTATTCCTTTTACTGATCATGAAAAGGCAATGTCATTATCATGCAATAGTGTGATAATAAACGAACACTGAAAGATAAAGATATAGATAACGATAAGTATATGGATATGTATAATGAAGATCTTTCATCTCTATTGTTCGTTATCTGTATCAGCCTGAGCTATCTGATTAGCATCAAACCATTTACAAAAAGATCATGGTTAAAATGGGGTTACAAATATTAAATTCGATCCTGTATTTGTGTCTTTGTATATGGATAGTTTCAGGTAATTTGTTTACATTTGTTAATCATTTTGTATTACAGGAACGGATAAAATATTGGACATCTTTGCCTAATTTGATTTATATATTCACATGTGTGATGTGGGTGGGTGGTAGCTATAAAATATTGTCGGTGGTATCTTTCTGAACTCCTATAACAAAATAGGTTTTCGTAGTATTCTTATCTGTTCCGTCCTAGAAAACTATTCATTGGTTTGGCATAATTTCCTTGTTAAAATCCCGTGCAGGACGGCGGGCCTGGCAAGGAATAGTGTCTAGCCATTCGGGTTGCATGAAAAACTGAGGTCTCGTGTACACATTGGCTTACACCTAAACGAATTCTAGTGCAGAAATATAAGACGTTAAACACAATTTCATTTGATTTCTTAAAATCCACATACAAGCTTGCCTACGTTAGTAACTTAAAAAAAAAAACAAAGTTTATAACACACAGACTTTTATGTTTGGAGAAATGTACTGGTATCCTACATGTGCATCCCACCTACTGTAATACAATATTGTACAGTCCATTATGTTATCGTTTCCCCCAAAACATAATGTTATAGTTACCCCCAAAACATAATGTTATAGTTACCCCAAAACATAATGTTATAGTTACCCCCAAAACATAATATTATACAACTTTTATTGTTAGTTTAATCTTTTATTGTGTGTTTTTAAATGTTTAAAGGTGATGACCGGAAATCAATTAGCTGCCAGTTTGAAGAAGAATTCTGTTCGTGGACGTCTGCTCAAAGCTATAAATATGCATGGAACAGAACAGACAAGGACACACCTGATAGCACGTCAGGTCCACGTAAAGATCACACATTTTGGGGTAAGAAAATCATATAACATTAAATGCAGATGCAGGCCTTGCCGATCTCGTTCAATCGCGAACCATAATTAATGACTTCAGCAATTCTAATACATCTTTCAATATGGTGTCGCCAACTGAGCATGAGATGATTATAAATTATTATAAAGGGCCTTTTCACCGTTTTTTTAAAATCT